TGGCGGGATGTGGCGGGATGTGGCGGGATGTGGCGGGATGTGGCGGGGATGTGGCGGGGATGTGTCAGGGATGTGTCGGGGATGTGTCGGGGACGTGTCGGGGACGTGTCGGGGAAACGCACCTTTTGCAGTTGCAGACGGCAGAGCTTCAGCGACGAGCCGCTGGCTTCTTCGAAACCCGGCCAGACTTCTTCAGCGCCGCCTTCTTCACCGGCTTCCGCTCAGCCTCCTCCTGCGCAGACATGTCCTGCGCATATAGCTCTCTGAGGGTGCGTCTCCACATCATGGGGGTGACACGGATGTTACCAGGCAGCATGGATTGAACTGTGCAACTTCCCAAGTTCACAGAGAGAGAGCCTGCATGCTCGCCATCGCAAAGCTTGAGGAACTTCGTGAGCATGTCTTCAAAAGTGCAGTCTGGAGCAAAGCGACTGCTCAATACGGCCAGCGTGGTGCCAGTCATGGGTGCACTTGCGGTCACTGTTCCACCATCCCACGAAAACTCCACCAACTTCAGGCCGGCTGGGTCTTTCAGAGGCTTGACAATGATGCATTCTCCAGCCCTGCTGGCATACACAGTCATGTGGGGAACCAACTCCATATTCTCATGCTCCTTTTTTGTGGAAAGGAATGACGCCCCCACAGCCACTTGGCATGTACAGCGCACCTCCACAAAGTCGATGACGCCGAGCCTGCCATTGTGGCAGCTCTCTCAAGTTGCCGTGCCTTTCTTCCCAAGTGGCCCAGGCAGCCACAGTGGTACAAGCCAAGACATGTGCCCACGAAATGTCAGTATATCCGAACAAACCTGACATGGGCAGCTCTATATATAAGGGAGTATAGGGGCGCTCCACCGTCTGTCGCCGCTTTCCTTGATGATTTCATATATGAAACAACGCATGAGGGCACCTGATCCTTTCACATCTGACGTGAAAGAAGTGCGCACAGCAAACCTATATAAACATGCCATGTAGGTGTAGATATTTATACTCATGGGCGGGCACACCGCCGTCAAACAAACATCTTCCATGAGCGGACACACCGCTGTCAAAACAGGTGAATGCAAAGTTCTTATATAGTTTTTCATGTTTTTTCCCAGACTCAATGTGACAGTGCCTGTCCTTATACCTCCGCGCTCCAGCGCATCCTAAAGCCAAAGCTCTTGCAAATCGCACAAGCTCAGGCAAAGAGCTTCGTAGACCAAACGGTCCAGGGTCTCGTCCCTCTTCAAGTAGACAACTGGGTGTCCTATAGACTCTGCAAACTTGGCAGCTGCAAAAATCTCACCCTCTCGCACAACCAATGGCCACGGTGGTAGGTCAGCCATCCAGGGGCGCTGCCACAAACAGGCGGTAAATCGACGCAGCTTCGCCTGCTTCGCCTTGCAAAAGCACTTCATCTTCTTAAGCGCAGGGAGCGTCCTTTTCTTCCACAGCCGCTTGACTCTCTCCAATGCTGACAGCTTCATGCTATATATCTTTTTGAGGCTGTAGCGACAAAAAACGTTGGGCCTTACGAAGCTGCGTGTGAAGGAGGACACTGGGCATCTATACATGTGTACATTATGCATGGGCGGGCGCACCGCCATCCAACCAAAATCCATCCATGAGCGGACACACTGCTGTCAAAACATTTGAGAACAACATGAACGACAAATTCAGTCTGTTTACCCACAGAGGCTTCTCTGCAGCGAATCAAAGTCCAAAAAGCATTTGCTTCAAGCGGTACTTGACGCGTTCACATCTTACATCCAGGTCACCGAGTATCTGCTCCAGGTTGAACCTGAAATGGTCGAACATCCGTCGGCGGTCAGGTGTCAACAAAGACTGATCTTGAAGACTGTCGAAGACATCATCCAGCTGCCATATCAGCATGCTCACGTAGATGTGCGTGCGGTGAGTCTTCTCAAGCTCGCGGAGGTGCGCAGCCATTGCCCTTTCAGCCATACGTATGTTCTGTTCAGGCGCGCCAAACCGTTGACACCAATGCTGCAGAGACATGTTTAACAAATTCAGACTTGCACATGACAATACCTGGATTATACACGCGCGTGAGCGGCCACATCGTTTTTTGTGAATTTCAATCATGAGCGGGTGAACCGCTTGCACTACAACTGTGCTTTCTGACACTCCTTTTCTCTACTGCTTACCTCCATACCACTGGTTGAAGAGGGCCTTATTCGCCCCGCCTCTTTTCTTTTTGTAGCCCCATTTGAGGACAAAAATTTCCCGATTGGATTTTGGTGGCCTCGATTGGGCCTTCGCAACAGCTCCTGGAACTACATCAGCCTCAGTTGAATCAAATTCAAGCGAGTCACCGCCTTGCAACCCACTGGCGCAAGCCTCCGTCGATTCTTCTTGTTCTTCTCCTTCCTCTTCTTCAGCCCAGTCCCTGGCAAGATCTTCCCTGCCCTCATACATGCAGGCACCTTCTGGTGGTTGCAACGGCTTGGAAGCACTGCTGGTGCTGCTGGCTTCTGTCACATCACTGCGTTGAGGATCTGCCTGATTCCATTCACTTTCTTCAACCCAGTCCTTGTCCCCGTTGGAATCTTCATTGATCGGAGCTACAGTGGACCAGGACACTCGACAAAGCGAAGAAACAAGAAGAAGCATGAGCGGGCAATCCGCTATATAAATCTAAACATATATATATATATAGGAAATTAAATACAAAAGGAAAAGTTGAATGTCATGAGCGGACAGACCGCTCAGCATACTAGCCACACACCAAAACCAAAATCTTTTCAGAGCTCTGGCAACTGGCTTGTCACAGTCGGCAAAGACCATGATCCCCTAACCCCTCATCACCGAATGTATGCATTGCATCCATTCAGAAAGCCCTCATGGGTGAAACCCTTTCTTCAACCAGCAGCTGTTGCAGCATCCGGGTACAAAGCGGCAGGTGGAGCAACCTTTCGGCATCATTTTCAAGCGCCTGGCCTTTGTAGGAATGCGTCCCCTACTCTTGCGGCCCTTTTGCCCATGGACGGGCTCCTTCACAGCCTTCACAACCTTTTTCTTGCCGGGCTTCGCAACATCATTGTGCTTCTTTGCCTGCTTCGGAGTCTTCGCAGCTTTGCTTGAGTAGGGCTTGGCATGCTTCGGAGTCTTCGCAACTTTACTTGAGTTGGGCTTGGCACCCTTACCCTTTTTCTCAGCGTCCCTTTTTTCCGCCATCTCCTTCAACTTCTCAGCCGACATCTGAACAGCACCAGTGGGGTGAGTGTCAGTGTCGGTCTTTGCCTTGCAGCTCTGCTTGGCCAGCTCAAGCAGCCTTTGCTCAGCCGGCTCTGCTTCATGAGGTTCAGGCAAGGGGTCAACCACAGGAGCTGCCACTTCAGGACGAGCTGCAGGACAGGATGCTGGAGTTTGAGGTTCACACTGAACAGCTTCAGGTGCAGGAAGTGCTGGAAGGGCCAACTGGCTTGGAGCCCGCGTGGCTTCTGACATACTTTCTCTCGAGCTGCCACTCATCAACTGGTTGGCGTGCGCGACACCCGCTCCCAATCTTCCTCTGCCTTGACCGCCAGTGAGGGTGATAGGAACATCATGCTGCCCATGCTGCTGACCTTGAGACATGTGCAAAAGAGTTTGCAAGAATCGAGAGAGACCGTTTTGCGGGGCATCGAGGGTGTCGACAGTCTGGCAGCTGACCTGCACACATTTGGTAACCCTCAACGGCATGCGTCTGAAGACCATGTGCAACTCACCTTCTTCTAAAGGAGGCTTGGCTGGCTCCACTCCGCCAGGGAAGGCAGCATTGCGAAGTTCCTCAGGGAGATCAGCAAAACAGGCAGGCAATTGTGGCAAGAACGTTGTCGACTTTGGCGCGGATCTCATATACTGCTGCAAAGCTTTCTTGAGCCTCAAGAAGTTCGAGTGCAGCTGAAACTGGTTCTCCCTGGCAGGGCTTGCCCAAAGTAGCAATGTAGCTGACATACCAAAACTTGGTTCCGAGGGCAACTGCAAACCTAGCTTGACCAGGTGGCCGAATAAAGCGTCACACTTTGAGTCCATGGAGTGGGTGGACAGTAGCTTCTGCCAAAGATGCTCGGTCAAAAAGTTCGGCATGCGGGTGTAGTCCTGAAGTGACCGCCTCTTCGTTCTTTGTGAAACAGTCTCCGGGTTTGGGGGGAGTGGCTGCGATGCGCTCATACAAGGCGACAAAGAGTTCCTTCTTCTCGTTCTCCACAAAGACGCTGCTCTTTGCGACCATTTCTGCTCCATTCTTGGCGGCTTCCAGCGTCAAAGGGTCCCGGGTTTTCAGGCTTCCCAGGAAATCCTTCAGCAAAGCCTTTCGGTCTTCACTTTCAGAAAAGGTCCTTTCAAATCCTTGCAAGTCTTCCAGCAAGCGAGCCTCCATTTTCCTATAGCTATATTTCCGGCCTGCAACCTCAAATGCCTTGCCGCACATGTTTATATCTAAACACGTCGTTGGGGCGCATGAGCGGGTGAACCGCTGAGGATAAGAAACAGCAGAATAAGAAACGAAAGAACTTGACGCGACATCAAAAACAAATACAAGGGCTGATGAGACAAAGAGTAAACAACACTGTTTCCAACGTGGCATGAGCGGGTGAACCGCTGAAGAGAAATAGAGCGTAAACAACAACGCGGTTTCCAACATGGCATGAGCGGGTGAACCGCTGAAGAGAAAAATAAACAACACTGTTCCCAGCATGGCGAGAGCGGGTGAACCGTTTGGAAATCCGACCAAAGTCACAAAAAAAACATAACAAAAACGTAAAGCGACAAAAACAAAAATAGCTTCAGTAAGTAGTTTGTAAGTAGTTCATAAGTAGTTCGTAAGTACGGCGCCTGCCTACTTATAAGTACTTTAACTTTTTGTAAGTAACTTATATCTCCCAGGTAAGTACACTAACTTCCACTTCTACTTATGAAACTTGAGGTCTACTTGCGGGAACTTATCCTTATGTGTAAGTAGATGTTACGCTGGTTATAACAATACATATAAGTTCCAGAACTAGGCTTGAACCACTAAGTAACTACTCACTTCGTTCGCCAGACACAACTACGCTAGCGCCTTCTACGAAGGCTGGCTTTCGTAATTTATAAAAGCTCATTTAACAAAATAAAATACTCCGTGAGCCCCCTCACCCGGGGTCCAGCGTGCAAAATCCACTGGGCCTGGAAGCGACGGCAAAGTCGCGGCTCGAGGATGAGCTTTGCATTCCGGGCCGCACCCACCTCAGGCGGAGAAGAAATTGGGTGAGCCAGGTGACCTGTGATTTGCATTGCTTTCTCCAGGATTCCAACACTGGCAAATGTTGGCCCACGGCTTGTTGGGGAAGAAGTGTGAGGTTTAGTGAGTGCTTCCCAATATCCAGAAAATGGAGCTAGTTCTCCAACCACAATGTGTCTGGCGCCACACAAAGGAAGGCCCTTCCTTTTCAGAGTTTCCGGGGCGCTGTGACAAAACATGTCAAAACCAATGTGAGTTAAAAGCGACTCAAAGCAGAACACAACCTCACAGAAAAACCAACAAACACGTGCAACCCAGAACAAAATCACGACCAACATGGACCACCGCCAAGGAGGTCCCACAGCACGTGCGACGTCTCATTGGTTCGGGCTTCCGTGCGTCTACAAAGGCTCCAAAGGGAGCAACGTTGGTGACCTGAAAGGGAGCGAGCAACGATGGTCTTGGCTCGGCGGTGAAGCAGCGGTGCAGCGCTCCCAAAAACCAGCGGTCAGTCTTCAGGCCCTAGGGATCCAAGTACCTCCTCAAAAGATCCTTGGATCCCTCCAAACCCACCCCAAACACCTTCTCAGAGGGTACTTGGATCCTTAGGGAGGGTCAGTACCTGTTCTTTTTCTGGTGGACTGACCCTTGCTCGGCCAAAACAGGTGGATCAATTTCAGGGATAGACCCCCTTGTTAGGTAGAGAAAGACTGGGATGCCAGATCAAGTCGGACTGACGGTCTGGATTTAATCCAGTACGTGCCCCCTTGGGTTGATCTCTTTGCACTTCCGGGTGTCCAGACTCTGTGGTGAAGTGTCTCATTGTTGGTCAGAACAAATAGACCGCCAGGCGCCGCCAGGTTCGTACACGATTAAAATCGTGTATTAACACACTGATTCTCACCATTTGTCCACCAATCAATACCAATCCAACGCTCCGGGGTACCCCACAATCCCAGGCATCCGATCACCCTGGCGCACTTTCTCGATCGGCACCTGCAGCTGGAGGCGCTAGGCGTGAATTGGGGGTACCAAACAACAGCACCTCCCCAGAGGGAAATGAACCAAACATATGCCGTCTTTCTCTGAAGCCAAGGGCGATTCGCCTGCGACTGCCGCAGGTTGAACAGCATCCGTGGCACCCCACACCATGTGACACCGTGTGAGTCTGTAGGCCCTACACTCCCTGGTTTTCCACGTGTCAGAGGTGGAGTAAAAAAATCTAAACAGATCTGCAAGGGGCTATTTGATTGGGAGGATGAGGAACTGGACACTTCATTGAGCAACAATCTCTGTCGCTGCCTCAAACGCCTATAAAACGCCTATGCAAAGCTGCGTGGCATTTCAAAGCCGGACGAAAGAAGCTGCCGAAAATCCCCGAATTCAGGGCACCCCTTCGCTGTGCCATCCACCGGCTCCAGAGCCGCCTGGGTCGAAGCGGGAGCCTGTGAACATCATCTCAAGGACTGGATATTCTCTCCAATCGTGATAGTGGAGTGAAAGCAAATACCATTGTGGTCCTCTTCATTTCCCTACACTGATTGCGTGCATACCACAAAAGTAATTTAAGAGCCTTTGTGAAGCACCTGCCTTCCTTGACCAGGAGTGAATCACATGGATGCGGTTAAAACATGTTAAAAACCCTGCAGATTCAGGATGTTCATGGATGTTCCACAATGGGTTGTCGATGGTTGTCGACTTTAGGCGTAGACTCAGCTGGTTGTTGCGGTTCTGTTTCGTTGGATTGAACTTTTCACAACCCACAACCCAAAGGAGAGAAAGAGAGAGGGAACGATGCGACGATGGGCAAATCTCTCCGGAACCCGAACCCCCAACTTCGCAGACTTCATCGGCCTCTGTTGCATACGTTCACCCTGCTTGTCAACAAGCTCTCCTGATTCCTGCCTTCTAGTCAAGTCTGCATGAAGTACTGTTCTTTGCAGGGTCAGCCCGAGATCTCAGCATGTGCTCGGCGGGATGCTCGGGAGCCCCGGCCGTTCGAGCCGTTGGGCCTCCGAGAAACCGGCGCACTGCGGCCCACGGGCACGCTGCACCGGGGGGATGGGACATCTGGAGTTGAGCCGTCCAAAATAGAGCCTCTTTATATACAAGCGTGTCAACTGCCTGGAAGCCACAAGACAATACCCTCCCAATTTCCTGAGCCAGTCTCTTTGGGTAAAAACCTCATGTAGGGCTCACCCCCTCCGGCTATGTGCCACACCCCGGCTACTAGTATGTGCCACAGCCACCCTGGTCGCCTCTTGGGGACACCGTGCCACACCACTCGCCACTCGCTGCGCTCGTTCTCAGCTCGTTCGCCCTCGTCGCCTCTGCCTGGACTCCGATCTCGTGCGCGAGATCCGGTCTCCGCGGTGGTCGCCATCGGAGCGCCTGGTGTCGCGCCGTGTCGACACGGCGGATCACGGCGGGGGGTGCCCGGAGATGGCGGGGGGGGGTTGTCAGCCTGAAACGCCAGGAACACAAGCAACATGAGTGATTTGCAAAGGATCCATATGGCCATGTGTCTTCTGAGATTTTTGTGGGGGCATTTGGGGTTCATTTGGAGAGTCCAACTACCTGTCGACACGGTATAGTTGAATCCAGCGACTTGCTTTCGAAATTAATCAAAATGTGTTTATCATGGTTTATCTTGAGTTGCCGTACCTTGTTCCAAAGTTTCCAACTGGATACACCAACAGATCCTGACATTAGACGCCGTCTATCAACATGTCCAAAGGGGTGCCAAGAAAAGAACCAAAGAAAACTAAACCGACCCAAAACAATCCCAAGCACACCTTACACATTCTGAACATGCCCTTGGAAATCAAACAACCGGCAAGACTCTGGCAATCGGGGCCCTTCAAAAACCGGGTTGCCGGTGAGGCATGGGACGTAAAAAGATCTGATGTTGCTGGCGCGTCCAACATCCGGTCACCTTGGCAAGTCTCCACTCCCAAAACCACTTCAGATATTCTTATCGTGATCCATCAGGACGGGATGTCGGGACGGTTGACCTACCAGCAACCTACCATGGCGCCTGGGACAATAAGCGAGGCGATGCAAGTGAAGTGTAAATGTATGCAGTGATGTCTTTTTAAAGAGATGGGTTGCAAGTGACTCTGTCGACATTTGCCGACTCTGTCTCTGAAGGCTCACAACTGGTATTGAATCACATAGCTGGGATATGCCTGTTCCATTTGGTAAATCACAAACTCCTGATGCAGCTGGGCTGAGTTGTGATGCCCCTTGATAGCACCGGGATTGACAACAATGGAATCGTAGGTGACCCCGGATGTGCTACTTCTCACGGGCGGCCTCCCTTCATTGTATCGTGTTTCCTTGGCATAGTATGCATCCCCAAGAGCCACACGGGCAATGATCAAAGTCCTTTCACACTTGCAGCCGCAGGCCATCTTGTGATCCTTGCATGTGTATTGATGGGATTTGCATGCAGCAGATGCGAAGTAGACCCCATTGCCGTACATGCCACGGGAACAAGTCCGATGGTCGAAACCATTCAGAACAATCGAGTTTGCATTCTCCCAACTGGTACCGTGCAAGAGAATCTTCTCGTCCACATCTGCTGCCAAGGCCTCGTCGCAATCCAACAATTTCTGGTTATTTGTCATGACTTTGTTCAAGCCACCAAATGCATCCAAATCTAAGGCTGCAGGGGTGACAAACACATTGTGACTTGCATTCTGTTTCCGCAAGGCTTCACATCTTAGCTTGTATCCATGCCAAAGCCTCAAATTTTCAATCCGGTAGACTGACTTGACGGTCGCCGTCCTCATACAAGAACATATTTGGGACTTGTCCTGCCCGTGGCCCGTTAATTGCAGAATCTCGCGAACCTTCTCGTGAATTTGAGAATCTGTCACTTGGATATAGAACTGATTCAATTTGTCAGTTTGCTGCAACAAGCAAGCAGGGGTGGAGACCCACTGATTTGGCGCGCCAGTCACAATGCGAATCCAACGAACTTTGTTTGTGTCGCATCGCTTTTGTATCAAAAGCTGGAAGTCCACCTCGCGGGCTACACCAGGGGCATTGATGGTCGCGAAGCGATTGTAGGGAGATGGATCACGAAGATACACCAAATAAGCTTGAGTCATTTGATCATTCCCCTCAGGTGGCACAGCATGCCAGCATCCATTCTCCTGAAACTGCCAACATGCACCAGAACTACTGGCCATGCTGGAGGTTCGCTTTTGTTCTGCAAGACGCGCAGTCAGCTCCTCAATCCGCTTTTCAGCGGATTTTGCATTCTCTGCCTCAACATCCACCTGCTTCTCAGCTGCTTGCAATTTGCGCTCGAGGTCTTCATAGTTTCCTTGACATCAGAGACTTGTGCACGTGAATACATATGCACGTATATATTATATCTATCTATGTCATATCATATCATCAAATAAAGAGCCTAAAACCAAATAACAGGACCATAAAACAACACCCAAGAAGCAAAGTCTTGAAAGTCATTGCCTAGTCTCTTTCCATGCCTTGCAAAGACATTGAAACATCTCTATACATCCTATCGGAGAATTTCTCGCTTCACCTTTTCCGTTAAGATTGCCTCCTCTGAAAGGCGGACCTTCTCCTGCAATGCCGCGACTTGCTTCTCGGCCGCCAGTCGCATCCTCTGCTCCTTTCGCAGTTCACTGCTCTGATACCTGTGTGGAAATGGTGGGTAAGGAAAAAATCGGAACAGCTCAGTCAGAACGGAACAACATACTACGAGTATATTTCGCTGCAAAAAGTAGCAAATTGTATGCCGTTCAATGTTTCAAAGCTCTGGCCAAATGTTCTGTTGCACCGACTGCCTGGCCTTTTATGGACTTGTGCAGCTGCAACTCTTCGTATCTCCTCTTTCCTGCTTGTGTCGGTCAGCTCGAGCTGCTTGTGTTTTCATGTGTTATCCACAAGTCACGAAGTGCGTGGTGGGATGCACCAACGGAAGAGAACAGAAACACCTTGACTCCATAAGACCTTTTCTTCTGGGGGGCTTTTGCGTTCCACATGCCTGCTGATAAGTGGGGTTCTGGCAAGTCTGGAGGGGTTCCTTCTTCAGTTTGATTGTCAGAATTACTTTGAAGTCAAGCGGAGTCCAAAAGCCAGAAAAAAAAAAAAAACTAAAATGCTTTTGAAAGGGAACAAAAGGATACAAAGCGAAGTAAACAATAATCAAAAGGGAAGCGGAAGGAGAAAGTTCAAAGGGAACTGAAAGAAACTATTTTAGGCTCACTGAGTTGGAGGGGGTTTACCCAAGAACACATTGCACCTGGGCAAATCCACCCACCCATTTTCGAGGGTGCGACCAGCGCATAAACAATGCCCCTCATGTACTTCAGAACAGCGTGGCCCATTCCCTGCGTTCGGTCATGCGGTCACGCCCGTCGCCCACGAGAAACACATGCTCGTCGGTGAATTCCGGAAACCGAATCTGAACGAGCTGCGAGGACGAGCTTGAGCAGCTTGAGCTCCGCGAGTGCGGCTCCGGATGCGTCCGAGGTCTCACCATGAGGATGGGATGGGGTGGGTGGGGTCTGTCTGGGGACAACCAAACAACTGTGTCCCACTCAAAGCTGACCATGACCATTGAAGCATCTCAAACTTCTGGCGCTCTTTTGCAATCAAGAATGCCGAGTGTAAAGCCTCCCCTGGCCTGCTGTTGTCCAGTGCAGCTGCATGCTCTAACGTCAACTTGCCGGAGGTCCTTCGCCGCTTTGAAGAAGAACGGGACCGACTTGAGCTCGGGCTGCTATACCTTAGTGCATGCTTTCCAAAAGTCATACCAATCCTTGACCACACTAAGATCAATACCGGCCTCTGTTCTCGACATGCCTGATAAGGGGGGTGCAAGGCAAATGAAACGTTCTTGTCAGGGTCCCTAAAGCCTTCGTGATGCGCTCAGCTGGCCACAGCTGCCCACCAATGCGCCAGATCCTACATTGGGAAGGGAAGGCTGGAAGCTCCCACCAATCAACTCAGATGACCTGAAGTTCCAACGGAGTAGTATATCTATGCATATGACTATAGAGACTACCCCTGAATTCACTCTTGCAGCCAAATACGAGTATCTGCTCGAGCTCCGCGAGTGCTTCTGCAATTCCAGAGGATGCTTCCTCAGATGTCCGACACATTCCGACACTCTCCAAATAACCAAGACACACAAGCAACACACATGGATTTTATAGACAGTTTGGCAGCTTGGTGAGTTGGCAACTTGGTGGGAAGAACTTCTGCCAAACACATCCCATCCAAAGCTTTCAGCACCTCCAACAAGTACGTAACACATACTAACGAGCATGGACACCTGGTATCTCGGGGACTGTCCGGATGCCTCTTCTATCAGTTGCTGACCCTCGTAGCTTGCTTCCCTCAATTTCTGTCACAGTCGGTTGAACTGAGGGGCTTCTGTCCACTTAAGCGTTGACCCACCAGCATAGTCTGCCATACTGCACTGCACGCACATTCTTCAGCTGCATACCAATCTTGAGCCAGTCTCCAGCAGGGAATCCTCGAGCCCTTTCTGGCAAGCCAAGCATGGGGCTGTTATGTCAACCCAAACTGCAGTGTTGTCTTGTTGCGCATAATACCGGTGTCGTAGAGATCTACATTTAGGATGCCAGAGGCCAGAGGTGCAGAAACACGGTGATACCCGAGCTAGCGGAGTTCCAATGTTGCAAATTACACAAAAACAACCAATTTGGGAAAGGGGAACCAATCACAAAGGCACAATGGTTCCAACAAACGAATGACCACACATTCAGAAGTCTACCTGGTCTGAAGTGGCCCGTTCGTGTCTCTTCGGTGTTGTTTGAACCATAATCTTCTTGCTTTCACTGTCAAGCGTGTATAGTCGGTACATTGTAAAGTTTAGTGGACGCGACATGATTCGCAGCAGGTTTTCAACGGCACAATGTTCTTCAAACCACCGCCAATTGATTTCTTAGAGCCTGCGAGTCGTGTGTTGTTCCATCCGGGTCGAGAACCTGGATGGAACAAAGAACCGCGGTAAGGCACGGCCGCCTGGTACAGTATGTCTTGCGCAGGGTCCCTTCGATGACTCCTGTCTGGGTGTCCTGTCTGGAAATCCCCAAGTAGTGTAGGGTAGTCCGTTGGACACCTTTTGAAATTGGATGGTCCTGATGCTGAGTTTTGAACCATGTCCCAAACTCGCCCATCCATGGGGATCATCATTTTGAGTCGGGCCGGGACTTTGGCCGAAAAAGTGATCAATGTCAGCACAAACCGACTCTCCCTCGCACCACCAAGCTCCCGGCTTTGTGGGTGTGCATTAGACTTGGGAGACCGGTCTAGACCCCTGGAGGGTTCGGAATATCGACCGTGGGGCGAGAAAGAGGGGAGTTTCCCTATAACAAGACCGTTTTTTGCACTTCCCCACCCTATAGCAATACAAAACAATACAAACATATAGCAGTCAATTGGCTTGTCTTGTTATAGTTAGCCATAGCCAAAAGCCCAGCCAATATACTCCTTCTCACATACACATTGGTCTAGCCGGTAGCCTACCATAGCCTACCTATACCCAATATGTTCAGTCTTGTTCCGATGCACCCCATCCCAGCCAGCGCTCGCGCTCACATGGTCCCGCTCTTCGCCTCCGGACCGAGAGAGAGGGCGTCGTGATAGTTCTGCCCTGGCGCGAGCTTGAATCAAAACCAAATGCAGGGGCTATTGTATGACGTGGTGCCCAACGAAAGTGGGTTCTGAAATGTGATCATCCTCAACTTTGATGAGCTTTTGACATTTCGGTGGGTCCGTGAAAAAAGGCAACTGTTTGACCAAAGGTCTAGCAGGTTCCAAAAAGACCACATCCACATGGGACAGTGCCACTCGACATTGGAAATAAGTGCTCACATTTCAACTTCCAAGTTATACTACTTAACAAGTACATACCCAGGCATTCCTGCCTATTAGCTGTACCATTCACCAGGTTTCTACAACTATCGGCATGCTACTGTCCTCAAAGTCCTTGCGAATCAAGTTCTTTATAGCTATTTTCAGTCTTTTCTCAATGAAGAGGGCTCCCAATGTAGCCATGTTCACCATCGACCCCTCAGTGGACAGGACATAGGGATTCAGACCGACAACCAACTACATACATACATCCGATTCATCCTCTGGCTGCTGACACCATGTTAATTTGGTTGGCCCCACAAGGGGAAGATCATCCCCTGCTCGTTGGCCAACCCAAGCCAGTCATCAAAGGAGAGAGCACCGGCTGGGAGGCTCCATATTCCCAGCGCGGACGCAACACTAGCAGTTCCTCCGAGTTCCTCCTGCATTCACTGCCCAGAACTCAAAAACGATCGATTCTGGTCCTACATAAATAAACCATCAATCCAATGGGAAGACTGACCGCCTATAGACATCTATACACTATAGTACGTCTTTGTAGATATATAACTTGATGAAACGCACATGGGATGATTTCCATCTCGTAGACCAATGTAGTCAACCCGGCAATCCCAACATCCAGGAAAACTGTGCCCAGGTGGAAGTTCCCAACCACTGCTTTTCGATTCGTCTTCCCACCACAATCCAACGGGGGCTCTCCCTATTTTTATACACCCCGGGTATCAAACCACTGCAGGCTTCCCACCTGACGTTCCTTTGGTCTTCGCAAACTCCGCAGACCTGTTTCATCACCTCAGATGGGTCGGAGGACGCGCCAGGTGAACCCGCGGAACCCCCCCCGGACAGTTGGTGTTTGACAGATCCAGTGATACATGTGTCGTCAAGAAGGGAAGTGCATCCTTTCAACAAACAAGTACAATATCATATATATATATATATGTCTTTTTGGAGTCCTACCCTATTCCATCTTCTGGCAAACCTAGTTTTCCAACACATGGAATTGGGGAATTCAATCCTTGACCTGGCACCCATGGAGTTCTTTGGAGCTTTGGGGAAGATCGCATTGAATCCATGTTGGAGCACGACCCCCCAAGCCGTGCCCCTGGAAAATACAGATTAACTGGATTTTCCACCTGTTCAACCACTCTAGCTATATCCCGTGATGGCTTGACAACACCCTCTGACCCAATATATGATAATATATGTATGTTGAGCTGTTGATTTTCTACCAGTTCTTCTTTGGTGGGAGCCCCCAAAAAGGTTAAAGGTTATCCACTGAGTGGGTAGGACGACTAGGCCGGACTGGAGCTTGTTAAAGTTCTGGGGCACCCCAACGTGCCATGGCAGTCAGCGATCATCAAATGAAGCTGCAAAATCAAGTGCCCGTTGCGTATATTGAACTTCTGGTATTGTCCAATAGCCCAAAGAAATCCCCTTTTGACGTGTCAAAGTAGGTATTATGGTGGAATATGAGAAGCTACCTCCAGGTCGTCTCCTCCTGCCTCTATTGGGCCCGGTTACCTTCCGAGAGAGTCTTGCTGGCTTGGCTTTGGACGTGTCGGCAGGGGATCCAAAAAATGAGACTCAAGGCTTGAAAAGAAACAGCCGTCCTCAAGACTTGGCGTGAGGAAAGTCGGAGTCCTAGCCACGTGCTGTGCTGGTCAGGGCTGAATACAGCAGTTGGTGCCAAAGTGAAGTGCGGATTGGCAATGCTGTGTGCATATATTTCTGACGAGGGCCTTGGTGGTGCTTAAGTTCCATGTTGCTTTGAGGGATGCAGTTGCACCATTCCAATTCCATATGTCTGCATGGTGATGCAATTCCTGCTCAAGCAAAGTACTTGATGCACGATGTCATGGCGGCCACATGGTATACTGAAACAAAAGCAAGAACCTGGATGAACAATCCGTGAGGCGGCGCCTTCAATCTTGTACCCGGTCAGACTAAATTCCAATGATCAATGAGAGTTGGGGGATCATGATTAGTTCGTGATTCACGATCCCGTCTGCCTTTGTTAGTCTGCAGGCGGTTGTTCTGAATGCGGTAACAATATTTGTGGAAATTGGGGACCTCACGTCTGTCAAACACAATGGATGATCATGGACGGTCATGGCTATATAGTTGGCACCAAATTGAATGGATTGTCATCCATGATTTCGCTGTGGAACTTGATGCTAAATCCATGGATGATCATGGCTAGTGATTCTTCATGACAAACGACGAGACTCTGTGGAAACTCCTCACGACTGCAAGGCCGGTCCTTCGGAACTTATATACACCCAAATATGTTTGAAACATTGGCTTGTTGAGCACAAGAACAAGGGGCCTATGCTTCCCAAGATAGGGAGGGCATCATGATTCATGATATCTCCAAGTATATGGTTCAAGTATGCATCCCATTTCCACTTTGTTGGGCCATTGCTTTGTGACACTTCTGACGCATGGCATCACGCAACTGCCACACATGTAAGGGATTGTTGGAGTGACTTCTTCTCCCAGTAAAGATTTTTGCGAAATGTATGACCCTAGCATCATAAATACAATATATGTGACATCACCCAGTCCCTCCCGAGGGTAAGTATGAAAGTGGCTGCTCTATTTTCAACTAGCACTGGCACAGCCTCGCACGAGGACAAAGCTCCACAGTTGAGGAACAACAAAAACAACTATATACAGGACAATTCTGCACCACTGGAGATTGGGACCACCAGCGTTCTGGTGAGTCCTAGAAGAAACCATGGACGTGAAGCAACCTCCGAGCTCAGGAAAGCGGTCGTAGTTTCACAGTTTCTTGCGAGGAGATTCCAAGGCTGGGTTGTGCAAACCAATTTTGACTCAGTGGAACCGTTGAGTACCAATGGGAGTGCTGCTGCCGAACAAAGCAAGATCAAGCAACAAGATCAAAGCTGCATCCACACATCGAAGTAACATGTCTGTGTTGATGCTGATAGGATATTAGGTGTATAATCTGTTGTTAACCACATTCTGTGTAAAAGACACTTCAATTATTTAGTGTTGTATTGGAATAGCAAAGCAAAACTTCCCAGATCATCCATGTGTGGAATAGGTACATACATTGTTACACATGAAGGGGTCATGTTCATGAGATAAACTCATTATATATATATAACTCATTGAACTATTCCAGTCCAATCGATGGTCTGGGTAAGTAAGGGTTTATTTTCAAGAATCGGCCACCACGGTCGGAACCTCTAAATCGCTGAAAAGGGAGCCAAACACATCGACGTCTTCTCCACTTTGGGGTCCGACTTCGGAGCGGGAATCGTGCCGATCCAAGCGGAGACTCGAATCATGTACGAATCCCAGACCATGGAAATGGAAGAGTCATAAAATAATCAATACATTGAACACCACATGAACAAGACCCATCTAGTCAGGCAAATGAGACCAGTGGACTTGGAACTCTTGCCGACTCTCGCCTCGCCGCATGGTCGTTCATCCGCTTCTTCCGGGGGGAAGACACGGTTCACGAGATCTGACCAGATCCGTCTTGGCCCAAAATCTGAATGCAAACATGGATGGTGCTGTTTGTTGACTTGATGCCGGAACGTTCGTCCGTCTCTATATGTCTCTATGTTTTGGAGAAACCGGATTGGACATCACTCTGTCAATGTCTGGCAAGGCAACCTGCCTGTGAAATCAATCGGCATCCAAACTCTGGCCATCAGCAAGTGAGAGACTCCGCAAGAAATCTGATGGCACGTCAAACATTGTGAGTGAAGAGGGCAGCAAATGGAAGCGGGGTGGAGAAAACCCTGCATACTGGTTGACCTCCAACGTGAAGCTTCTATAGACCAGGTCAAGTACCCGGGCTTCAAATGGTTTCCGGAATTGACCCACACCCATTGAGCGCGTTAAGTTTATGTGGCGATCATCCTTTTCAGTCGAGATGAGTTGCAAGTGATTTTGCTGACAGTCGCCGACATTTGGTGTCTGTCAGAGGCTCACAACCGATACTGAACCACATAACAAGGATATGCCTGCTCCCTGTCGGAAATGACAAACTCCTGATGGAGCTGTGTTGTGTTGTGGTGTCCCTTGATGCGGCCGGGATTGACCACAACGGAATCGTAGGTGACCCCGGATGTGCTATCCCTCACGGGTGGCCTCCGTTCTTTGTATCTGGTTTCCTTGGCATAGTATGCATCACCAAGTGCCACACGGGCAATGATCAACGTCCTTTCACGCTTGCAGCCGCAGGCCATCTTGTGATCCTTGCAAGTGTAGTGGTGGGACTTGCAAGCCGCAGATGCAAAGTAGACCCCATCACCATACATGCCACGGGAACAAGTCCGATGGTCGAAGCCGTTCAGAATGATAGAGTTTGCATTCTCCCAACTTGTGCCATGCAACAGAATCTTCTCATCCACATCCGCTGCCAAGGCCTCGCCGCAATCCAACACTTTCTGGTTGCTTGTCATGACCTTGGTGGAGCCATCAGATGCATCAAGATCTAAGGCTGCACCTGCAACAGAAACATTGTGACTTGCATTCTGCTTCCGCAAGGCTTCGCATCTTTGCTTGTATCCATGCCAAAGCCTGAAGTTTTCAATCCGGTGCACTGATATGACGCCTGCATTTTCGAGCCACGAGCATCCTTGCCACGTGGTCTGCGCATGGCCAGTCAATTGCAGAATGTCTATCACCTGCTCAAGAATTTGATCATCTGTCACTTCAATGTAGAATTGATTTAACTGATCTGTCTGTTGCAACAAGCTAGCAGGGGTGGAGACCCACTGCTTTGGCACGCCGGGCAAAATCCGAATCTGGCGAACTTTGTTAGTGTCACCTCGCTTTTGCTGCATCAGCTCGAAATCAACTTCACGAGCGACCCCTGCTGAATTGATCGTCCTGCAGCGATTGCCCGAGATTGGATCACGAAGGTAGGCCAAATAGGCCTGATGCATCTGATCATTCGCTTCAGGCGGTACAGCGTGCCAGCATTCGTTCTCTTTGTATTGCCAGCGTGCACCACAACTGCTGGCCATGCTTTTTATGCGTTTCTGCTCTGCTAAGCACGCAGTCAGCTCATCAATCTGAATCTGCTTAGCCTGAACTTGCTCTTCAGCTGCTTGGAGCTTCTCTCGTTCGCTGGCCAAAGCACGTTCTAGGCTTTGACAGTCTCCTGATCTGAAATTTGTTTAGGAGCATGAAAACACTGAATGTAAAACTTGCAAGGAGTCAACCACAAACTCCTTAATCTGCCTTAAGCACGACCAAGTCTCTTGCTTTGCTGCTCCTCATTGCCCTCTCGCTCGCAAGTGCTTCTTGCAGTTTGGCAAGCTCCCTCTGCTCGCTGGCCAAAGCACCTTCCCGGTGTTTACATTCTTCTAATCTCAAAACTGCTTTAGGAAAGTTGTATAATGCACTGGACGAACACCCTGTCAAGGTGGATGTCAAACAACTCTTAAAGGGTCAAACAGAAAACCTTTTCCAGCATGACAAAGTCTCCTTCTCTGCTTTCCAAAGATAGCGAAGCATCTCTCAGTTTCCCTTCAGCCGCTTCCCTCATTGTCTTCTCACTTGCAAGTGCCTCTTGCAGTTTGGAAAGCTCCTTGTCGACCATCTGCCCAACCAGCTGCCCGATGGATTGAGAACCCACATCACTGTTGGAAGACCTGTTCGGATTGGCACAAGGAATCATACAAAATATAGCTGTATATACATTTCAAGCGAAAGAACGTGGAGTCCTATGTCACATATTTTCACAACACCCGCAGTTCCCCAGGCCTGCGTTTGACCTCTGAAACTGCGCCCTTTTGTATAGCATCTTTGCCAGTCTGAGCCTCCGAATGCCTTTGCAATTTCCCCAAGGGAGATGAACTGGTACAAACGCAACTGGAAGTGCCCTGTTTCGCTGGAATGAGAACAACAAATCCATCATTGCTAGAGTTGCTAGCGGTGCAGGATGTTTCTTCATCCATTCATGAACACTAGCGAACAACTGCCCGGCATGCCTGGTCTAACTCAGCTAGGACTTGCCACGTCCACCCCCTGAACCTATCCAATCATTCTGTGGCATCGTGTGGTTTCTTAGTGGTGCCCCAAACCTACCCCTCACTCTGCAGCCAGTAGGGCAGTCTCTCTCGGAAAGAAGAACTGACACCAAGACTTTTGATTGTCCAAGCACCTGAATTCCCCACACATCAATTGACAGACTACATTTGCTATCGCATCCTTTTGCTTTTGCCTTTTAAATATCTGTGACTTGATTGCCTGGGCCAAAAGTATGCAAGGTCAACTCCAACTGTAGAATTGAAACTAAAAACCATAACATACCATAACAATCATATAGAAAGAACAACGTAAACACAAAACTCAGAAGGTAAGTTATTATCATTGTTGTTGAGTTAACACCCGCCGTTCCCCATCGTTCTCCCAAACCGTGACACTGCTGCGTTGGGCTCAGTGGTCGCTTCCGCCGTTCTGAGCCCGATGGGACGTCCTCGTCAAACGGGTGGTAGCCTTGTGCTGTGTGAGTTCATCAGGTGTTGGACAAATCTCTGGAGAATTCATCAGTCATATTCAGTCATCAAGTGTTGTTTCAATTTTGTGATGATGCAGTTCATTGCGTCGGCTTCCATTTGCTCCTGATGCGCTTTGATGTGGTCTTCTCTCTTTCTCTCCTCTGCAACCTCGTTTGTCCACCACATCGAAGGCCATGAAAAGTGGATAGAGGAAACTAGTGCTTGCATCCCTTCCCTTTCTCAGCAGTAGATGACTATAACTCGTTATTATAGCCACCGCTGTAAACACACTCCGAATCAGTCTTATCATGTCATATCAAATCAAATCAAAAAAACAATGGTTTGACAAACAAACATATAGAGTGATAAATGGGGTAGTAGTAGCTTAACAATCCAACACCTCCTAGCAATGATGGCTGCTGGCCTTGGCTTCGATACAAAAGCTGCTGTCCACCGGGCCATCCCAGGGGAGTCTCCATCCAGTCTTGGGCGGCGTCAAGGTGGACGCGGGATGGAACGCCCAGACCTGTTCACCGCCCACCTGGGAGAGAGGCCGGTCGATACCGGTCGAAGGATGTGGTCGAGGAGTTGAGTGGTTTGATGGATCTCGAGGTACGGGTCAGAAAGACACTTGTTCTTGATGCATGGACTCTGGCCATCTACGCAGCACATGCCCCGAACCTCAAACCATGCACAGAAAAAATGCTCTCAGCTGACATGTGGAATTGACTGATTCGCCTTGGGGCCAAACCACCAGCCACAAAATTTGGGACCATCACGTTCATCCCAGTAGTAGAGCCTCGGTCGTGGGTGGCGCTGCTTCTTCAGTACTTTAATCATCAAGCCAAAGTTCAAAAAAACAGGAAACCTTTGTTCAGCTCACAGGACATAGGCAGGGCTTTGTTACAGTGGGAAAGCATAGCAAACCTACAGTAGCAAGTCCGGGTGGCAGCACAGTCACCGTATCTGCATCCTTCTTGTAGATTGGTCGCCCATGGTTCTGCCCATTCACCGAAAATGTCCCCCGCAAGATGCTCTCCACCACCTTGTTCGCGCATTTCACCACTGTGATGTCAGCCGCACTTCCCACTACCTCCTGCGGAGAAAAAACGATGAATGAAGAAACCGCATTTCTTCTGACCTTCGTGCATTTTTTCTGCCCTGTGCCAAAACAATACAAACGTCATTTGTTTTCCAATAATGCCGTGTAGTGCCGCTCTGCTGATTTGTATACTGGGTGGACATTTCGACTGGTTTGAAGAATTTTTTGGGGCATGCAGGGATAGTAGGGCTTGCAAAGCCTGGTGTTGCAAGACTAAACATTGAAACAAAATTGAATGATTTGAATGAAGATTGAAAGAAAGATGTCTAAGGGTCACCAACTCAGGGACATCAAGCAACCAGGTCATGACAATTGATGCTGGAACATACCTTGCCAAGACGTTTGGCTGTTGTTTAATACATCAAAGCACGTGAAAGCGTTGACATTTGTCGGCTTCCGCTAGTTAATGTTCATGTGGCAGTTGTCATCCGACTGAAGTGGAAGGGCCTTGCCACTGGAAAACATCAGATGATTGATTACCCTTTGTTTCACAGCGGGTTTGTTTCAGCCTTTTTTTCCCCAGTCAAGCTGTCATGTGTGTCCTGTCCCATCCAGCGCTGAACACCTTGTGGTTGTTCAGCGCCGGGCTCATTGTCTGGCGACGCCATTCTACGTGGTGCCAGCCACAATTCGCCAGGTTCAGGCCAGACTGGGACTGGTGCTTGTAGCACCAATCAATGAAACTGCAAAAATGCATGGTTTTCTTTCAAATTTAAGCTAAATTCATTCAAGTTTAGTTCCTCGTATCTTGAGTATATGTGATCTGCCATAGATTCTGCAAGTCGAAGCTTTCGCTCAAGTTCTTCTATTCTAATAGTCGCTCCTTCATCCTCTTGCATCATTTCTTGACGGTGGTGGCGCAGGTCTTGTTTCATTTTGTCATCTGCGAAAATTCCTCCACCGATTCAAAAAAGAGATTCGTGTATCCAGCATGTAGATACAGTAACTGTATTCGTCATGCAAATACTGGTACGAAACTCTGGCTGATCGCAGTTCCTCGATGAGTTGCATTTCTCTCATCTCGACGTCTTTCGCATCTTCGATCTCAACTCTCTCAATACTCCTCTTGGGTGATCTGTCCATGCTCATTCTCGGTGACGTCGATCTTGTAAATCTTTTCAATACTCTTTTCGCATTGCCTGTTCTTGTATCGGATCCAGTAGATGTTGCCTCCGGTGGAGCAACTCTACCTTCACCTGATACTTGTGATCCTGTCGGCATTGTCATTATTGTAGCATCTGCTGAACTCGCACCAGTCAATGATCCTGGCGACGACTGTGATACATTTCCTCCAGGCGCTGCAAAGGAAAACTGTTCTCTGCTCTTCGCTCCGGAACTGGACATTGCAGGTCAAATGTCGACAATCTTTTCTTTCGGTCTCTTCCAAGGTCGTAACCAGAGCGGCTACGGCTGATAACCTGCGTGTGGATATTAACCCTGTAGGTTGGAAGTCTACAAAGCTATCCAGCACACCATTCAGAATCAAAAGGACACGCAACCTTTTTCCTCTGATAGGGCACTTGAGACAAAAGGTATTGGCAGGTTCACAGCGTACTCTAGCTATACATGCTACTATAGTGCGTCTCACTGCACTTCCATTGACACAATAAATGCTGCAGCCTAAAGCCAAATAATTGGACCATACAAACCCAAGAAACAAGGTCTGTAAAGTCATTCCCTAGTCTCTGTCCATGAGTTGCAACGACTGTAAAACATCTCTATGGAGCCTATCAGAGGCTTCTCGCATCGCCCTTTCAGTTAACAGTGCTTCGTCCAAAAGGCGGACCTTCTCCTGCAATGCCGAGACTTGCTTCTTGGCCGCCGGTCGCCTCCTCTGCTCCTTTTGCAGTTCACGGCTCTTATACCTGTGTGGAAATTGAGGGCAAGGAAAAACTCGGAACAGCTCGTTCAGAACAGAACAACATCTATATACACTATATTCCCCTGTATCAAAAGTAGCAAATTGTATGCCTTGTATGCCTTTCAATGTTTCAAGGCTCTGGCCAAATGCGCCACACCTTTTGACACGTCTTGCTGTTCTGTTGCAGCGAAAGAACCGTGTCCCAATCGCAGTGTCCCTGGCCTTTGATGGAAGCTGCTATACCTTAGCTAGTGTTTTCCCAAAGTCATAAAGTGCGTGGGATGCGCCACCGGAAGAGAACACCGACACCTTGACTCCATCAGACCTTTTCTATGGGCGTTTGCGTTCCACATGCCTGCTGATAAGTGGGGTTCTGGCAAGTCTCGAGGGGTTCCTTCTTCGGTTTCATGGCCAGATTACTTTGCGGTCAAACAGGGTCCAAAAGAAAAGAACGCAACATGCAGTTTGCAAGGGAACGCCAAGGACATAAAGAAGCGGAACGAAGAACTGGAAGGGAACTGAAAGGCACTATTTGGCATTACTGATTTGGCGAGGACATATATACCCAAGAGAACACAAGGGAGGTCAAGCTACACGGTGGACCACTTTTTGCCCCTTCCCCTCAGCGTTTTGCCACTGTCACGGGAACAAACAACACAAAACTTGTCAGTGTTCGGGACACCCAACCCGAACGAGCTGCGAGGACGAGCTTGAGGACGAGCTTGAGCTTCGCAAGCGCTCGCGTGAGCGCTTGCGTGAGCGCTGCTTGCGGGAGCGCTTGCGTGAGCGTTGGGCGAGCGCTTGCGTGAGCGCTTGGGCGAGCGATTGCGCGAAACCATAGGATGCTTCTGATCGCACCAAACAACTCAAAACAACAAGACTAAGAAGTCCCAGACTTGGCCGCCTGTCGCACTTAGAGCTAGCCAGTATAGCATTTCTATAAATGCTGAGAGTAGAGCCTCCCTGGCCTCCTGTCCAATGCAGCTGGCTTCTGCCTACTTAAGTGTTGACCGACCAGCATGGTCTGCCATACTGCACTGCGCGCACATTCTTCAGCTGCGTACAAATCTTGAGCCAATCTGCAACAGGGAAGCCTCCAGCCCTTTCTGGCTAGCCAAAGCCCCGAGCTGCGGCTGTGAAATTAACCCAAACTGCATTGTTGTCTTCTTGATACCGGTGTCGCAGAGATGTACATTTAGGAGGATCAAGGTGGAGAAGCATGGTGACATGGTGATACCGGAGCTATCCTGCAAAGCCAGCGGAGTTCCAACAAGTGAAAGTTGCAAACACTCCCCAATTAAAAACACAACGTCCGAACCCCTACATTCGGTTCATATTTGGTTTTAAAGTACCGCCCTTTCAAACCGCTACTAAACTACCAACATGGTCGATTTTGGGGGTATTTTGTTTTAAATTAGGTTCCCCAAAACTCCACCATGACACGACGCGCTTACACCAGCAAGCTTTCCTTCCCCCAGTGGCACGGACTCACGCAAACGCACTTGCCACCGAGGTCATGCAACACCGCATGGCACAGCGACATCACCTATCGAAAGCTTTGGCTGTTAGTCTACTGAAGAATCACTATTCTAATGAATGTTTTTGTAGGGGAAAAGGAAGACCCTTCGATCTGGAGGTTTTTTTGCTTTTTGATACGAGATTAGTAAAGGATTATATATAAAATTTTACTGGATTACTTTTTGGTTTTGAAACCTTTTCCAGGTGACCGTATTTTGGACCCCCCGATTTCAGGGACGGCCCTATTAGAAAAAATGCGACCGAGTTTTTTTTTAATAAGGGGGGGCCGTGTTTATTATTAGGTGGACCGGATTACTCTTCTGGCTTTCACTGCCAATCCACGTCAATCCATTCAGCAGTCTATTGGCTTGTCTTGTTATCGTTGGCCAAAGCCAGAAGCCCTAGCCAATATCCGCCGACCCCGTTCTAGTACCGAGAGCGTGAGCGTGAGCGGAACGGGGACGGCGTGCTCCTGAGAATAGTTCGGTATAGGTATAGCTGGGGCTTGTCCACCAACCAGCGCTTTGCGAAAATTGACAATATTTTTGGACAAATTTTGGACATTGGTTATGGTTGAAAAGGAATGGGGGCCGTCAGGCTTTCCCTGGCCAATTGGTTTTGGTCTGTCTCTCCATTCTTTGGGGTCGTAGAGATCAATACTCCATGCTAGAATGCTAGGGAGTCACTAGTCAATCCACTCTGCTAAGAAACTAGCAAAATGGTGGAGTCCGATTGTGTGCCTGCACCAAGACGTCTCCATAGTTCATCATTGTCCATCAACCCAATGAATTTGTATCTCCAGCTAGACATTTGTCACTGGTTAGACTTCTGCAAGGAATAACAAAAAAACAGGTTTTAACTATTCACAAGGTCTTGGGATGTCTGCAAGACAAACCCACATGCAAATTGCAGCCTCAACCTACATATCCCATTGTATCTCCTCCTGCAATTTTTCAGGTCCAATTCCATTCTCCTGGCTGCTTGGCTTCCCGGCTGCTGTGGTTCCGAAAAACATAACAAAACATCGGTTCGCGGCCAAAACACTTGCAAATGATACGAACGACCAGTGTTAATGGGTCTTATATCTAGAACTTGTTCCGCCGATCTATGATGATCTATCTGTCAAACCATTGCAGCAGGGAGATCGCAATAGATTAGATGTTTTTAAAGGCTCTGAGGTTCCAGGCATCCCCTGCACACCTCTAACATTCTTAGGTTGTTCCCAAAATTGTTTAATTGTTTCTAAAATTGTTTCTAAGATTGTTTTGATTGTTTGTAAAGTTGTTTTAATTGTTTGTAAAATTGTTCTAAAATTGTTTAATTGTTTCTAAAATTGTTTCTAAAGTTATTTTAATTGTTTGTAACATTGTTCGAACATTGTTTAATTGTTTCTAAAATTGTTTCTAAAATTGTTTAATTGTTTCTAAAATTGTTCTCAAGTTATTTAATTGTTTCTAAAAGTGTTTCTAAACTTGCTTAAGTGTTTCACAAACTGTTTCTAAAATTGTTTGATTGTTTCAAGCATCGTTTGTAGCATTGGAAAGATCGTCAAATTGCCTCTTAAATTGTGAAATCAGTTGGATCATTTGGATATATAGCGGTTTGTAAGTTTGAAATACTTGTCGTTATTGTTTGAACATGTGGAGAAAGCGTGCTTTGCAAACATGACCGAATCAGCGAACGGCGCCAATCAGCGAACGCACTTTTTTCATTCAAACTGGCGGCCAGCAAGTCATCAAGCAAAACCTTAGCCTTAGCCCATCTCCCTACCTGGCCAGTGGCCTTGGCTGCCGTTTCTTCAACAAAGCCAGTGCAGCCATGGAATCTCCACTACCTGGCCAGTGGCCTTGGCTTCAACAAAGCCACTGCAGCCAAGGCAGTTGCCACATCTTCTGAGCCGGGATCACTTGCATCGTCTCGTCGAGGAATCCATGGGAGGGACGCGACCCCAGCTTGGAACATGGCCATAGCCACTGGGAGCGCCATGGCGTTGCCGGCAAGGTCTTGGAGGAAAGAATGAGAAGAGCAAGCAGCAGGCAGGCTGCATTTATCTTGAAGGTCTTGGAGGAGCAAAATGGGAAAGCCTTGAAACATCAGAGCTTCCTCACCTACCATGAGCCGCTGGCGCGACTCCATCCACAGCTGCTGCCCTGGCAGCATGGTCGGCGCCAGCTGTTTGGGGCTACATTCTCTTTGCCAGCTGACAAAGCCTCCACGTCCAAAGCCTTGACAGCTCTCAGGTTCAGGAGAATATGGCTTTCAATCTCTGCCAAGACAAACTCACCAAGTTGCTCTGACCCTATGGCAGCTTGCAAGCTCTTCATAGAAGGTTTGCTCAGCAGGACTGCTCATAAAACTTGTCATACTCACTGTAGAGGCAATTCTGAGCAGCTTTGGCCAAAGCTAGCCTCAAAGTATAGCAGGTTCCCAAAGATTCAACGCCCAACAGTTCCAGGTGCTTGCTGCTCTCCTCAACAGACGTGACCACAGACTCTGGAGAAGAAGTTGGGCTTGATACTGCTGTGAACAGGTTCTGGAAAGCCAAAGCTGCTGCTTGTAGGGAGTCGAGGTCTTTGAGTTCATTGTCGAACAAGTCCCTGTTGGAGCTTTTGTCCATTCGCTTGCTGTGTTCCCTGGCCTGTCTGCCAATGGACTTGACTTCAGCAATTCGATCGGCACAGCTCTGCTTGAAGGTAGCTTGGGAGTGGGCGTCAGGCTCTGGCACTGCGTCATCGACCTTCACCTTTGCCAACTTGGACTTCAGTTCAACAACTTTGTCCTGCAGGTTGCGCAAGGCTGTTTGGGCTCGCCCATCTGCAAGCAGTGTGTTTCCACTGTCCTGGCTGCCCTGCTTCCCAAAGCCTGTTGATGATGACGACGCCTTCCCTTTGGCATCACGACCTCTTGGGCCAGGCTGTTGCGATCCTGGCCTGTGGCCGCTGTTGAAGGCCTGCTGGTTGAGGGCTTGCTGCTGGCTGTGGCTGGATTGCTGGCTTGCTGCTCGCCGCGTCTACCTGGCTTCTTCTTTGCGTCAAGGTTTGCTGGAGCCTGATGTTGTTTTGGTTTGCTGGGGCCAAAAAAGGAAGCAGACAATCCATTTTTTTCTGATCCACTGCTGCTTTTAGTACCTTCTGAGCTTGAGTCATCCTGACTGTCTTCGACTGCTGCCTGGTGAGCGGCCGCAAGGTTTGATTTGGGCGAACTCGGCTGGTAGCCTCCCTGGCGCAAGGCGTCGAGGACTCCTTCCAGGCTGAGCTCAGAGCCTTTGCTTTCCACTGCCATTTTGTCTCGCTGCAGGGACCCTTGATTGATCTGCTGCAATGCTGCTTTCCTCTTCCTAGCAAGGCCTTCGTCTAAGCCTGTGCGACTGTCGTGAACCAACTCAGACTCCTGCAGGGCTGAGTCCTGGTACTCTTCGTAGTCATACACACCCTTCTTGCCAGCATGAATCCAAATTCCTTTCACATCTCTACCCCAGAGGTGCTCTATCACTTCCTTGGTGGAGTCGTAGTCCCCATACTGTTGGGAGTCCCATGCCTCCTGAGTAACAAACTGTTTCTTGGGGGCGATAAATTTGCCACCTGTGCTTGTGGTCATCTGCTTTTGCTTCAAGGCTTCCTGGAGCTCCTTCTTGCTCTGAAGGCGTTTGCGAGTGGGCCCGCCTTCATTGTGCTGTCGGACCCAGGCTTTGCGGGAGGCTAGAAACCCTCTATGATCATTCTGGTTTGCCTTCTTCGACACGTGCTTGTAGTGGTCATCCACGCTCTTATGCTCCTTGTGAAGGCCTTAGGACTGGGGGCCTGCTGCCTTTTTGGTTTGCTTGCCTTAGGACTGGGGGGCCTACTCAAATAGGCACAGGTTGCTTTCAAAAACGGTGGGGGCTTTAAGCAACCTTAGCCAGGATACCCAGGGCCCGATATACGTTAAAACATATCAGGCACAGCCTGCCACTTGGAACGCGGACAGTCTCCCCAGAGTCTTCCTCTTTCGCTTTCTCGTAGCTGCGCCAAGGCAGGCGTCCTTCCACCTCAGGGAAGATCTCATCAATGGGGTACTCTAAGGGGGACTCGTCAGTGGAGCGGCCATTGCACAACTGGCAGCAACGTGGCTTCCGCAAGGTCAAGCTAATGCGGGCAAGGCCACCTGCCGAGGAAGCTGCTGTTGAGGCTCGCCCACTCCTGGCCTGACCTTGGCAACCCGGCCTGTGGCCGAGGACTGTCTACACAGGCGTCTTCAGCAGCTGGCTGTTCACTCTCGGCACTTTCAGAACTCTCTGAAGTGCTCGCCATGGCTGGCCAAGGGCCAAGGCTTGTCAA